CCGCCTCGCGGGGGCAAGGACGGGTTATGTCGGACTCGCACCGACTAAAACCCCATGGTGTTCCAACCTTGTCGCATATTGGCAGGGCCACGGGAACGCTTTCGCACACTTCCGCGGCCCCACCTGCGCTGGCCGCCCCATGGCGGCCCCTCCTCGGGAGAGGACCACTCCTCCCCCATCTCCCTCTCAGGTAAGGCGCACCAGAACACATGGCGCGCCCTCCTTCTCGGCCTCCAATTTCACATGCGCAACGGACGCCCCCGTGTCCGATGCGCGAAGGCCACGGGGCCAGGAAAAACTAGCACTCAGAAGCACCAGCCTTCCTGACCCCAGCGGCGGATCTGGTCTATGGCTCCGCCGCCAACCAAGATTCGGCTGCGGAGGGTAGGGAGAGCGGCGCCTCGCAATACCGACACTCCTCTCCCCCCGCAGCCCCACCACCACCGCATCACTCAACGGTGCGGCCCCGTCTGAGTCGCGGAGGATAGGGCGAGTGGCGCATCGCCATACCAGCACTCCTCTTCCTCCGCGACTCCACCTCGGCTGCAGCGATAGAGGGAGCGGACACCCCTCTCGCAGCATCCCACCGACACACATCCGAAGTGGGCTTCCCAAGCCCACTCGGAGTGGCCACCTCGGGCCGGCCCTACACCACGGGCCAGCCAAGGGGTTCCTCTTTGTTCACCGTGGTTGACCAAGCCACGGCTACTAAGCCCCCCCGCCACGACAAGGCGGGAACCCGTTCGGGGGGGAATTGAACCGCCCTGTAAAGTGCATATAGTTCTGATTGAAACACGGTGCACGAAGGGGCTAAGCTGAAAGTCGAGTAATGGATTTCATTACCTTCCTCCCACCAAGTTAGAGCAGCTCCAACTTTTCCCTCTATCTTACTGCCGTCTGTATAAATTTGGGGGCCAGTAATCCGGCGGGAGTCTAAAGATTCGAGATCCGCGCCCTCTAGGAGCTCGTACTCTGTTGTTATGAGTTTCGAGGGGTGTGGAAGATCCAAATAGCTCACTCTCTTCTCCAGTTTCCTTCCAGGTGGTAAATAGTCTGTTGAGATACCTTTTTTTGCTTTGTACAAACTTGCAGCTTCCTGGACTCTCAGGTCCAATGGTAATAGACCAGAGAGTACCAGAGACGCCGTGAGCGGTACTGTGCGGTACGCTCTGCAGATTTTTTGTGCAAATCCTCTTTGAAGATTGTCCAGTTGATCGCAAATCATTTGCAACTCTGTCACTGGAGCCCATACGCTTGAAGCGTACAACACAATCGGCTCTATGACCGCGACATATATTGTCCTTGTTATTTCTCCATTTAAGCCCCATGTTACTTTTGCGGCGCGCGCTAGCTGTTTATAAATTTCCACAGCATTTTTACAGACGGCGGTCACATGTGGTTTGAATGTGAGTTTCCGGTCTATTATAATTCCCAGGAGTTTTATCTGATCAATCAGTTGCAGTATATTTCCTGACATGTAGAGTTTTGGGAGATTGAATTTAAGTTTCTTTGTTAGAAGCATCGCGTTAGTCTTGTGTGCTGCGAAAGTTAATTTGTTTTCCTCTCCCCATTTGACTACTTTCTGCATTATTGCGTTGGCTGATTCCTCCATGATATTGACCGTGTGGTCGAAGAATACTAGGAGTCCGTCGTCTGCAAATGCCTGGCAATATACTCCTTCGTCTGTTAGTTTTTGCAACAAGGGATCTAAAATGATGTTCCAAAAGATTGGTCCTCCGATAGACCCTTGCACACAACCTTTTGTGGTGTCCCTCTCGCTTGTTGTTCTGGCATAGTTTACCACGATCTTACGGTCACTAAGGTATAAGTTCATCATTGCGTAGATATTTCTTGGGCACCTCTTTTTATGAGCTGGTGCTTGAGTGCTGGCCACCATGCGTTGTCGAAGGCTCCCTCTATATCCAAAGAGATGATAAGCACCATCTTTTTGTTGTGGAGTTATGATCTTACATGGTCCATTAAGTCGTAGAGGGCATCTTCGGTTCCGCGCTGTGGCATGAAGCCATATTGGTTCGGATTTAACATGGGTATGGTGTGCAAGGGTCCCACCATAAGTTTTTCGACTATTTTCCCCAGGACTGGTAGTAGGCCTATGGGCCTGTAGGACTTTGGGTGAGTGTAGTCAGTCCTCTTTTCCAGGTTTACGGAGAATTATGACGTGTGCTTTTTTCCATTGCTTGGGAAAGTATGCTAACGATAGACATTTATTTGCCAACGCCAAGAATACCTCCTTTTCGCTTTGAATGGCTACAGTACAAATATCTGAAGTGAAGCCATCTTGACCCGGAGCTTTTTTTGGGTTCAATGCTTTCAGCACTGTCTCCAGTTCGGCCGGTGTGAAGGGTGGATCATCATCAGAAAGGTCTTCTATGTCCTCCGGTCTTTTGTCTTGAACCAGTCTTCGGATTTGCATGTGGTAGGATTTGTCAGCCGCAATAGAGTCTTCTGGATAAAAGGTGCTTGCCAAAAGTTTTGCAGTTTCCTCCGGATTTAGGGTGTCACCTTCGACACTTCTGAGTAGCATATCTTCTTGTCTTCTGGCAGTTTTTCTTACTTATTACTCTATATATTCCATCCCACAGGCTTTCCTTTTCTTGTGTCAAGCAGAACTCTTTCCAGCTACTTGTTTGTGCTTCAATGGTCTTTTCCACATATTCCTGTTTACCTTTACAATACGAGTATTCATTTATAACTGATGCCATCTGATGGGGGCGGCATTTCTGATTCGCCTCTTCTTTTGCAGGACATCCCTTTTTAGGTTTTCTAGAGTTTTGGACCACCAAGGAGGCCTACTATTTGTCTTCCATATGCTAATTTTTGGAATAGATTTATCACAAGCATCCAAGATGGCTTCTGTATAGACAGTAATTTTGGTTTCCAGCTGCAGCAGCTGGTAGCAGCTGTTCATAGCATTTCCTATTTCGGACGTGTTGTCATACCATACTGATGCCGAGATCGTGGAACAGCTGCGAGCACAGAATAAGCATCTGTTCCAGGATCTCAAGGCAACTGAAAACGTAATGAGGATTCGGTACAGGAAAAGGGCGAGAAACCCGCACGAATGTCACCCAGTCATAGAGCTATCTCCAACACTGCACCGGCGTTTCTTAGAAGCCGAAAAATCTATATAGGCTTACAAAGAAGACCGGTGGAAGACCAATCCCCCTTGGTGCAGTACACGAAATGTCTGGGCTTCGGTCACACCAAAAACGTCTGCCAGGAAAAAGACAATCTCTGCAGCTACTGTGGAGAAAACCACTCCTGGGAAAAATGCTCAAATAGATTAGAGGGAAAGGCTCCTAACTGCAAGAATTGCTCGAGGGCACATGTCACAAGCCCAGTACCCCCTCACAATGCATTTAGCAATGAGTGTCCCGAGAGGCAAAAATAGGATGGCGATCACGTATCTCGTATTTCTAAGGGCCACCAAGATTACGGAAGCTCAAATTTCCTAAAGACAGGCACCCACAGTGTGCACATCATCCAAGCAAACCTACAGCGATCAAAACTAGCGACAACAGAATTAATACAAGGAGCAAAGGAAAGGGGAGTTTCAATAGCCCTCGTACAAGAACCATATGTGGGCAGAAGTGGTGAAATGAAGCTAATCCACGGCACATAAATCATCCAGTGCACCCTTAATCGCCTAAAATCCGTGAAAGCGGCAATTATCATCTTCGATGACAAATTGCGGGTCATACACGACCCGCAATTGGTGACCGAAACTGAAGTGGCGGTGCTCCTGTGGGCAGGAAAGCTGAGGTTGGGATTGGTGTCTGTCTACTACGAAGGAGACCAAGACATAGAGCCCTATTTGATACGCACAAAGGTAGCTTGCCAGAAACTCCAAACCGAAAACCTTCTGGTCGGTGGGGATGTCAATACCTGGAGCCACTGGTGGGGAAGCAGTTATGAAGACCAAAGAGGTGCAGCTTAAAACGCCTTCCTAAACGAAATAGAACTGCACATTCTCAACACCGGAGACAAACCAACATTCGAGACATATAGGCGAAACAAAAAATACACAAGCGTTGTTGATGTCACAGCTTGTAGCTTGTCACTGCTAGGGAAAATAGACGACTGGAGAGTCGATCGGAGTCTAACAACATCAGACCATAATGCAATCACTTTTGCTCTGCGCTTGGATGAGCAACTAACACCACTCGAGTCTAATACCATGCGCAAATACAACACCAAAAAGGCAAACTGGGAGAAATTTAAAACGATCTTAAAAATCTACCCTAGCAGAAAAAAATATAACACCTAAAACCATGGACCAGATTTTCACTCAAGAGGATCTGGAAACCAAAATTACTGTCTATACAGAAGCCATCTTGGATGCTTGTGATAAATCTATTCCAAAAATTAGCATATATATGCTACTCAGAAGTGTCGAAGGTGACACCCTAAATCCGGAGGAAACTGCAAAACTTTTGGCAAGCACCTTTTATCCAGAAGACTCTATTGCGGCTGACAAATCCTACCACATGCAAATCCGAAGACTGGTTCAAGACAAAAGACCGGAGGACATAGAAGACCTTTCTGATGATGATCCACCCTTCACACCGGCCGAACTGGAGACAGTGCTGAAAGCATTGAACCCAAAAAAAGCTCCGGGTCAAGATGGCTTCACTTCAGATATTTGTACTGTAGCCATTCAAAGCGAAAAGGAGGTATTCTTGGCGTTGGCAAATAAATGTCTATCGTTAGCATACTTTCCCAAGCAATGGAAAAAAGCACACGTCATAATTCTCCGTAAACCTGGAAAAGAGGACTACACTCACCCAAAGTCCTACAGGCCCATAGGCCTACTACCAGTCCTGGGGAAAATAGTCGAAAAACTTATGGTGGGTCGCTTGTAATGGCACACCATACCCATGTTAAATCCGAACCAATATGGCTTCATGCCACAGCGCGGAACCGAAGATGCCCTCTACGACTTAATGGACCATGTAAGATCATAACTCCACAACAAAAAGATGGTGCTTATCATCTCTTTGGATATAGAGGGAGCCTTCGACAACGCATGGTGGCCAGCACTCAGGCACCAGCTCATAAAAAAGAGGTGCCCAAGAAATATCTACGCAATGATAAACTTATACCTTAGTGACCGTAAGATCGTGGTAAACTATGCCAGAACAACAAGCGAGAGGGACACCACAAAAGGTTGTGTGCAAGGATCTATCGGAGGACCAATCTTTTGGAACATCATTTTAGATCCCTTGTTGCAAAAACTAACAGATGAAGGAGTATATTGCCAGACATTTGCAGACGACGGAGTCCTAGTATGCTCCGACCACACGGTCAATATCATGGAGGAATCAGCCAACGCAATACTGCAGAAAGTAGTCAAATGGGGAGAGGAAAAAAAATTAACTTTCGCAGCACACAAGACTAACGCGATGCTTCTAACAAAGAAACTTAAATTCAATCTCCCAAAACCCTACATGTCAGGAAATATACTGCAACTGATTGATCAGATAAAACTCCTGGGAATTATAATAGACCGGAAACTCACATTCAAATCACATGTGACCGCCGTCTGTAAAAAAGCTGCGGAAATTTATAAACAGCTAGCGTGCGCCGCAAAAGTAACATGGGGCTTAAATGGAGAAATAACAAGGACAATATATGTCGCGGTCATAGAGCCGATTGTGTTGTACGCTTCAAGCGTATGGGCTCCAGTGACAGAGTTGCAAATGATCCGCGATCAACTGGACAATCTTCAAAGAGGATTTGCACAAAAAATCTGCAGAGCGTACCGCACAGTATCGCTCACGGCGTCTCTGGTACTCTCTGGTCTATTACCATTGGACCTGAGAGTCCAGGAAGCTGCAAGTTTGTACAAAGCAAAAAAAGGTATCTCAACAGACTATTTACCACCGAGCTCCTAGAGGGCGCGGATCTCGAATCTTTAGACTCCCGCCGGATTACTGGCCCCCAAATTTATACAGACGGCAGTAAGATAGAGGGAAAAGTTGGAGCTGCTCTAACTTTTTTTTTTTTATAGGATGAGGGTGACAAACGAGCACACAGTCCACCTGATGGTAAGTGGTTGCTGTGGCCCATAGACATCTACATCTATCCTCTGTTACAAATCAAAATGTAGATGCGTTGTCACCCGTGAGGACTAAGATGGAATGCCTCATTTCCAGTAAAAAGGGCCTCCGGCCACCTGCACTCACCAAGCGAAACGCAGAGGTAAACCTCTACTTCACGCTGGTTTTCTGTGAGGTCGTGGTACTACCCCGGTTCGAGCCGGCCCATCCGTGCGACAGCAAAAGCTGCCGCTTGGCTCTACCACTGTTAAAACCTTAACATAACTTGGTGGGAGGAAGGTAATGAAATCCATTACTCGACTTTCAGCTTAGCCCCTTCGTGCACCGTGTTTCAATCAGAACTATATGCACTTTACAGGGCGGTTCAATTGGCTAAAAATAGCAGGGAAATATCCATAAATATTATGAGCGATTCTAGGTCCTCACTCGACCTGTTGGGAAAACCTAAACTTATCCATCCTCTGACGAAGCATATAAAAGAGTGCAAGGAAGACATCCGGTGACAGGGGAGACGAGTGCGGTTTTTCTGGCTATGAGCGCACGTGGGGACTGCCGGAAACGAACGCGCTGATGAGCTAGCGAAAACCGCGGCCCAACAAGCAACAACTGTCCCAGACTATGCAGAAGTCCCGTTGTCTTATGTCAAAAGAAAGATCAGAGAAGAGTCTGTACGGAAATGGCAGGATAGGTACAACGCCTCCAGTACAGGGCAAGTCACCAAAACGTTTTTCCCCGATGTAGACAAAGCTTACCGCATCGTGAGGAAAGCAAAACTGACACACTACCAAGTGAAAATCATTACAGGACACGGCGGAATAGCTGAGTACTTACATCGGTTCAAGTTGAAAAACAGTCCCGGCTGTGAGTGCAATCCAAATATCAGTGAGTCTGTGTGGCACATCATCCTGGACTGCCCACGATTCAGAATGGCCAGAATGGACCTTGAATTTAGGGTAGGCACAAAAATAAATAAAGAAGTGTTACACAATATCTTGGACGACGCTGATAAAAGACCGCACTTCTTAAAGTTTGCAGAACATACAATTCGTATAGCTGCTAAAAGGAACAGTAATCTTCCTCCAGTAACAACTCAGCAAACTGAGTCGTTGAATTTCGTGAATTTAAGTAATGTAACAACACAAAACACAGACATAGAACACAGAAGAACAATTAATAAGCCCGCAAAGAAACTACTGGAATATGCTGAACTAGGTAACCCAGGTCTTAGATTTAAAACAATAGCCATGTTTATGGACGACTCCTCTGAAAGGCTAGGTATTTGCTTCTGCAACGCGATGGCTCCAAATAGAATAATCATCTCACCCGGCCTCGCCTTACTCCTAAAAGGCAGCACCTTCAAAACAAGCATAAAACGTAAGAAGTATGAGGCGCTACAGCAGATAAAAGTAGCAAACAATCACTGTCGAATAGTCCGCACGCGAAACAAAACCATCGCACTATTCGAAAAAGGCGACAACATCATCGGGTTCGCCCAGGCATGCTCAGTGCTAGCTGTACTTGCGGAGGCAGGTGAGGCTAAAGAAGTACCATCAAAAATTATAAGCGTAGATGCTATGGTGGTAGAATATGAGAAAGGGAAGGTAGAAGACTACATGGGAGTGTTAAAAGCCTCAGAAGAACATGAGGTGGTGGTATACGAAGACAGAGGTGAAAACCTCAGTTTTATGAAACCACTCAGACCCAACGAACCTTCATGCTCGTACCCTACTAACAGCAGGGAATATCCCATAGCAAGCCCAGAAGAAGTATCAAGCGGATCCGAACGCTTGCAACAAAAAATGGACGCCGAAAGGAGAAAAGTTAAGCGGCCACGAATAATCCCAGCCGAAACAATAGACAAAGTAGCAGCACTCGCTAGCACCTTCGGTCAAGTCATCGCTGCAATCCCCGCAGTAATCCCAAAGAAAAGAGAATATCGGAGATCAACAGAGAAGATGGTAGAGCGTTGCAAAGCACTTCCCCAAAGGTCAAACGAGAAAATTCCTATGCACATGGACGAAAGCAGACATGGAACAAGTCACTCTGCCGAGCCTCAGGGAGGCATCGGAGCCCCAGGACCACTGGATAAATGCATTTCTAGAGTTTAAAGCTATCGTAAAAGCTACCAGAGAGGTTAATATCATAACCTGCAAGACCATCTTGGAAACCTTTCACCGAGGTTGTGAAGATCAGCTTGTGGTGAAGCTCGAGGAATCCGAAGCCGCAGTGTACAACAACGACACAGCTGAAGTAATTAAAGGGAGTGCGTCGGGATTGTACATGGCGGCATACAACGCAACAAGTGGTTTTGTGGCTTTGGACAGAACTGAGACAAAGCGGTTGGGTCAACTTGTCTTTCGAACACCTCCTCACGACCCCATAGTGGTAACAGCAAACTGTACGAGAGTTATGCTTGAGGACAAGATCCTGGACAGGCTTAAGGCTGTGTCCATAACCTTGGAGGAAGGCGGCACTCTTGGGCATTGGCAGTTACCAAAAATAACATGGGTCAATGGCGTACCCGGATGTGGAAAAACATCTTGGGTTATTAATAGTTTTGAGGAGGAAAAACATATCATAATAACAACAACTGTAGCTGCAAGCGAACTGAGGGACAGGCTAGCATCACGTGTAGGAGCCGACGCAGCAAAGAAGGTGCGGACAATGGTCTCAATCTTGGTAAATGGCATAACGGCGTCTGAGAAATACACCCGTCTCTTAATTGACGAAGCGCTTATGAACGATTTTGGGGCCATAGTAATGGCAGTACAAATCACGGGTGCAAGTGAAATTCTTCTTATAGGCGACAACAACCAGCTGCCGTATATCGACCGGCACGATCTGTTTCGACTGCACTATACTCGTCCAAATCTAGTGGCTTATATCAACCACGAATGGCTCTGTACGCACAGAAACCCATTGGATGTAGCGTATGCACTTAATGAGATCTACGAGGGCATTTACTCATCCAATACTAGGCTGCGATCCCCGGAGTTGAAGAGGTACACGGGTTCACAGATTCCAAAGTCCCTTGAAAATACGTTATATCTGGGACACACCCAGGCCCCAGAAAGTCTCATCAGCCAGGGCTACGGAAAAGGGAAGGGTTCGCGAACTCTTACCATACATGAAGCTCAGGGGCTCGTGAGCGAGACGGTGGTAATTGTGCGATCAACCAGAGAGAAACAACGCCTATACAACAGTATTCCCCATGCAGTGGTGGCAATCTCACGTCATACGAGCCATTGTACCTACTTTACAGATTGGTGTGAGGAAGATGCAGTTGCCCGTTTCATTTTACGCGCCGAGTCTGCCACCACAAGCAGAATTAGGGATTATAACATCAAAACGGCAATACATCATCGAGACTTAAAGGTTGCGAACAACATTATGGTACGTGGTCCGAGACGAAGTGGCGTAAACGACATTCAAACGATAATATTAAAGTGACGTTGCAGCTTAAGGACGTTAAAGTGACATGTTCGCAACAATGTTTCGTTTTTATTAATTATTTTAAAAATAAGGCTGTTTTGTGAATTGTAATAGTATTATATAAATTAGTATATATATGTATAGATTAAGATTTTAAATACATAGTTAAGAAAAAAGAATCAAAAAAAAAAGAAAAAAAGAAGAAAAGAAAAAAAAAGGAGGAAAGAAAAAAAAGGAAAAAAGAAAAAAAAAACACAAGAAAACAAAAAAAACTTAAAAAAAAGAGGAAAAAAAAGAAAAAGAAAAATGAACAAAAAAAAGACTATATTATGTTAAATGTTTCGAATAATAAAAAAAAAATACTTACTACTTAGATGTAAGGCACTATACTCAAATTGTAAAAGGACAAGTACATTTAAATATACGCGGAGAGATGTAAGTTTAGAAATTCAGTATGTAATATAATAAGTCAAAAATGTAACAAAGGGTACGGACCGCGAGTCTGTAGAATAAACGATTAATATATAAAAAAAAAAACCTAACCTAACCTAACCTAACCTAACCTTTTTTTTTTTACGGGGGGATATCCTCATGTACTACCTCCGCCTGGGGAAAGGCGGAGGGGCGTGCCGGACTCTTACCGGCTAAAACCACCCCGGTGTCTCCTCACACGTGCGCGTGGGGCCGCGGGAATCCAAATTCTTCCGCAGCCCCACACTAGTGCTGGCCCGGTCAGTCCAGGCCTCGTCTCCTTCACGGGGTAGTGAGGTGTTAAACTACCCCGTGTATCGCCTCAGGGGCGCGCGCCAACACCCGCGCGCACCTCCGCCTCGGGTCCATCGAGTAGGGGTGGCGGGGGCTTCCCTCGCCCCTGGATCCATTTATGGGGGCCGGAAAAGGGCGTTGTCCGCCCTTCTCCTGCGCCCGGTGCGCCTTCTGCGGCCAGGGAAGGGAGTCGAGATCTCCCTTTCCCGTTCCGCAGTTTCCTTCTGCGACATCACGTCCTCGCAGAAGGACACCACCGCATCCCACGACTCTGCGCTACCGACCATCTTCCGCACTAAGGCCGGCAGCGACAGATCGCCTCCTATTTTATTTGTGAGGACACGGCGCTGCTCCTCCCAAGCTACACACTCGGCGAGCGTGTGTTGCGCCGTGTCCTCCCCGCAATGGACGCAGTGGTGGCACCGAGCGTCCGGCTCCCTGTCTATGCGGCGCAGGTACTTGCCGAAGCAGCCATGCCCCGACAGCACCTGCGTCACTCTAAACGACAGGGAGCCGTGCCTTCTCCCTAGCCAGTCGTCGAGTACTGGCCGGATCGCCTCGACGGTAGCGAGGCCGGCGGTAGGGCGCAGAAGCCTTTGCCGCCATTCCGCCACCAAGACCTGACGGAGCTCCTCTCG